TTAATTTAGGGTCCAGCTGCTAGGCTAACCGTACGGTTACATTGAATTTGTAACGATGCTTTTATAGCCACAAATCTTCCATTATGCCAGTTGGACTCATTTGGGCAACCGGAGTACAAAATGTCCAAAATTAATTGTCAAAAACGGCCCTTATGTTGCAGAATCACAAAGAATGAGACCAAACATTTTGTAAACTTTAATTCTAAAGTGAAATATGAGAAAATTCATAGAAACTTAGTAAAAGATAACATTTATTCAAGTAAAATTGCATAATATAACGAGTCAGATTCTTCTTTGATTCCATGTCATGTCTTTGATTCCATATTTCTCATGTTTGAGTTGTTACTTTTGTAGACTAGTAACACGTTTTAAAACTGTACATATGAGGCGATCATGACTAGAGTAAATAATATTTTGCTAGTGATAGGTTTGAAAGGCGATATTTACACAATATGCTATAGTAGTCATGTATACGATTATTGTGCCTTTTATACATTATAATGATTTAGCAATAATGAAATAAACCATAGGAATTCTAATCTGATGTTTATTGAGCAGAATAATATTTCTTTAGCTCGCAGGAGGATTAGCTACAATCTAGCAAGGTTTCTTTTCTTTTGGTTTAATTACACGTAATCTTGGGTAAATAATCCTTCATATGTTATTTTAAAGAATGCCACTTCAATGGAAAGGAAATGCTTTGTGGTCAAGAGTTGAGTGTCAACACCATTAATTAAACATTTTTTTATTAATTTATTGGGTTAATATCACGAAAAACTTCAAATTGATACACCTATGACAATTTTATCCCATACTAATTTTTTGACCACCAAAAACCTCAAATTGGTACATCTGCGACAAATTTACCTTCTGCTAGTTTTCGTTAAATTTGACTATTAGATTGCCAAGCTGGATGACACGTGGCAATTAACGGGTATACCAGTTTAGGGTTTTATCTCCCATTTGTCACAGATGTATCAAGTTGTGATTTTTTGTGTTATTAATCCAATTTAACAGAAATTAATGAAGAGTAAATTTGATACAAATATACCAGCTCAGTATTTTTTATGGTCAAAAAATTAGTTTGAGATAAATTTATTATAGGTGTATTAATTTAAAATTTTTCGTGATTGAAAAATCAGTTTATCGTAAATTTATCATATATGTATTAATTTAAAATTTTTCGTGATATTAACCCTCGTTTATTTGAAAAAAGGCCAGGAAGAAAGATGTTTGACCACCAACCAGCAACTTTCTTTCTTAATCTTCGTGGGACCCACGAAACAACCAAAGATATTCCCTCTGTTTTTTAATCGAACCAAAATATTCCTTAACTTAACCAAGTGTGGAGAGAGAGATCTGATGCCAAATGATATCTGACACACCGAAGGTACCCTTTTTATTATTAATATTACATAATTACTTTTTTAGTTAATAAATGGATTTTAAATTTGTTGTGTTGTTTTCCTTGCCCATTCCCCTAGGGCCCTAATCGGTCGTTATCCTCCATTTGCAGGGAGTAGTGTCAAAAAATCCCTAAACTTTTTATGTTGATGTCAATTTAATTATAAACCTTTTTTTAGTTTCAATTCAATCTTAAACTTTTTGTCTTTATGTCAATTCAGTCCTTCCAGTTAAATTTGGCTGGATATTGTTGACGTGGACGCCGGCCGGCCTACGACCGCCGGCGATGACACGGACAACTTTTAATAATATTTTAATATTTTTCGATATTATTATTATTATTATTTTCTTTCTTTTTCTTTTTATTTTCTTTCCCTTTCTTCTTCCTCCAATCGGTTGCCAGTCTGACAACTGGTTGGAGCCCGGGGCTGGCCAGCCCCATCGGCCTTTAGCAAGCCTCGCCCAGCCCAGCCCAGCCCAGCACGAGGCTCAAGCCCTAAGGCACGACCTTGCCAAATCCAGCGAGGTTGTGCCTCGCCAAAGGCTGGCGAGAAAGAAGAAAGGGAAAGAAAAAAAAATAAAAAGAAAAGAAAAGAAAATAAATAAAAAATCAAAAAATATTATTAAAAAGTTATCCACGTCATCGCTGGTGGTGCCATGTAGGCCGACCGGCGTCCACGTCAGCAATATCCAGCCAAAATTAGCTGGAATGATTGAATTGGCACAAAGACAAAATGTTTAGAATCGAATTGACACCAAAAAAAGATTTAAGACTAAATTGGTACAAATGCAAAAGATTTAACATTTTTCTGACACTTTTTCCCTCCGTTTCCATGTGTGGCACAAGGAACACCCTCTATTTTCTCCATCTCCAAAAAAAAGAAAACCACTGCCACCGATGTCGATGGGGCTGTCCCCGAGGGATCGCCTTCAACAGTTCCACGCTCATCTTCTCCATCTCCATAACCACTCCCTTCGCGGCCACCATCTCTCTCCCTCTCTCCTCTCTGTCTCTTTCTATCTGTATCCTACCTTGCTCTACATCAACTAGACCATACACACATATGATCTTTTATGCCGACAAGAATAAGGCCAGATGAAACGGAATTTTTCAAGTCGCGTATGATCTTTGATAAACGGATATGATACTGCTTGTAGATGTAAACTACCTGGCATGTGAGACCAAGTTAAGTGAAAAAACAAGATACAATTTTTGGAAAAGAAAAATCTCGTGAGATTGACACTATTGAACTATGGTCAAGCCATGCACGAACCGCCCGGCATCCATGTGACCACCGCAAGGTGGTTGCTTGAAGGCATGGCAATGTGATGATGATTTTTTAAATCGAGAATGGACCGCGTGCTTGCCAAGGAACATTTACCTATCTAGATAATTTGTACTTTTTACTTTTCGCTAAACTTTCTTAACAGTAAAATGGTGACACATAGATGCACTTATGAGTTTATTCAAAATTTTCTGAATTTTAAATAATATTTTAAAATATTGGGGCAAAAGTATGGTGTTCCAAATCTCCCCCACTTGTTGAGGTAAAAGGATCAGCCCATTTTCTGAGGGGATGTGCTTCCTTTTTGCGTTAGGATTTCTAAATTGGGTTACAATTGCCGGTTATAATGTTGTGGAATTCCCCCCTTTTCTCATGGACTGAACTCTATGCCAAAAACTAAAGCGAGAAGATGACCAATGATCGCATATTGGGATGTTGGCGCATTGGGCCCTGCACGGCCCACAGTAATAGCACAGCCCGTTCTATTCTAAAAATCAGAATGTGCAATTGATTTTCATAAACGGGGAATATAGAAGAGAATGTGCATAAAATTGGCCACTTCCTACATGTGACACAATGGTTTTGTTTATTTCATGAAATTTTTTTTTTGGAAAAACATTTTCTGGTATTTGAATAGCTTAGGAACGTTGTCCCAGTCAACGAAAAACCTGTACTTAAATTCAGAAAAATGATTCCATCTTTAAAGAATTGGAAATCATTTTTTGAAATATGACTTGATATCGACTTTTAGACCAGAAACTCTGAGTTTGGACACAGGAACCCCGACACTAGTTCTCAAGCCCTTGGCAATAGGGCTGCATTCAGAGGTCTAGTCAAGTCTACCGAGGTACATCAAGGGCAAGCTCGAGTTCATCGAGGCAAGACCCAAGACCTTGGCGCTCGAGTGAGGTTGCACAGGGACTCCCGTGCCCATGACCCCACCAGCCTAGGTCCATCTAAGCCGAGCCTGAGTACATCAAGGTTGAGCTCAGGACCCTCATGCTTGGACCAAGGTCTCTAATGCTGACATCCTAGTCTATCGAAGCCTAACCTAAGACCCTTGCGCTCGGGACCAAGTTCTCAACGCTAGTGCCAGGATGCCAATGCTTGTGCCCAGGTCCATCGAGGCCAAGCTCGACTTCTCGGTGCCCACTTTCGAGGCCATCGAGGTTGTGCCCAAAATCCCAGTGTCTGTGCCCAAGTTCTAAGCACCCCGCCCTAAGTCCATTGAGGACGGGCCCGGATACATCAAGGCCGGGCCTAGGACCCTCGTGCTTTTGCCAGAGTCCCCGACACCTGTGCTCAAGTCCATTAAGGCCAAGCCTAAGACCCCAGTGCCCATGTTCGGGTTCCCAGCACTTGGATCAATATTTTCATGCCCGAACCTAGATCCCCAACCCTCGAGCCCGGGACCATTGATGTCGAGCTTGGTTCTATCAAGGCTGGGCCCGGATCCATCAAGACTGGGCTTGAATCCCTAGCACCAGTGTTGGGTCCCGACCTCGCCTCGATGGACTTGTGTCTTAGGCATTGGGGACTTGGTCCCTAGCGTTGGGGTTCGAGGGCCGACCTTGATGGACCTAGGCGTAAGCGCTCGGGACCCATAATGGGCCTCTATAAACCCGAGACTAGTGCCCGTGCTTGTGATTGGGAGTTGAGGATTCGGGCCCAAAACCCCGATGTCCATGCCCGATTCCCTAATTGCCCAGCCCATGCGCAAGTCACTAACACCAAATTGTTTGTGTATTTAAGAAAAATCTGTCGAACGAATAAAAAAATATTTTTCAGTTCATTTTTGTATTTCAGTCAAATTTTGACCCAAAAAAGAAAAGAGGAGAGCCGTTCAAGGACAACTTAAGGTTTCATCGGTATCGGATCAATAATCCTGCTGCTACCGGACACCAATATCCATGAATAAAGATTTTGCAGCGACATCCCGTGAAAAGATTTAACATCCGTAGTTGAAAGAAATTGCACACACCTAAAGTGAGATTTTCCAAAAGCATGGAATGTCTTTCTGGGAAGAAATCCCCAAGAAGACGAGGCAGCTCGCGAAGTTCAATCTTGAAAGGTCCGCTGGAGTTGCTGCCAGTGGTCCATCTCCCTCTGGAAAACCCTTTTTTGTGAAATTTTCCCCTCCCTTTTCTATGAAGGTAATAAACCTGTTGCGACAAATTCTGCACAGTTCTCAGGTTGTAACGTAGCTATGAACTAAACCACCGATAAAAACCGGATTCAAAAGCCTTGTTGATTACTAAAGCTGCACTAAACTTTTGAGCTTAGTCCGACTCTGCGGTGACAGGGAGAGAGTTAGGCACTATATCCAGCAGCTGATTCTATCTACAGTGGATCTCCCCAGTTTAAAAAGTATTACAGTGAGAACCCTGGCATTACATGGTAGGACAAGGAAAAATTATACCAGGAATACATGTTATGAAGCAAATGTGCCAATCACCGATAGCAAATAAACCCAATATCTCTCGAGGCAGAAGCAGAGCATCGTCTGTTGCCTACGACAGCTATATGTTCGTAAACCCCAAGCAAAAGGTATCTGAAACAAAATGCCCTACTTGAATAGGAGGGATGCCAGGCTCGACCGCCATCCAAACAACATGGAGGGCTCAGGCTTCTTGGGCATAAGAGCCATAATGCTGGTCTGCGCATTGGAGGTAGGCGAAATTAACCGCTTCAAGCCTGTCTCTGATGACCTGTAATTAGAAAAAATATATGCTTTTACAGATAAGTAGGAAAAATGCAAATGAAATATAATCAAAACACGCAGAGGTCTGTTCAATGAAATTTCATTCAAGTGCCCAATGTAGCTTACTGGTGTAAGCTCCAAGAAAAGGAAAAAGGAAAACCTGAGGCACTCAAGATCAACAGAAACAGTTGCTTTTGAGTCCAGTGCGCAAATATAAAATGGCACGGTTCATGATGCTTAACGCTTAATATTTGCATACTCCACCCATTAGCAACTTTGAGGCACACACTAAGACACCGGGTGGCTACTGTGATTGATCTCAAATTGATTGTAATTAGCAATGTTCTGGATTACTTCAACCGACAAAATCATACATTTATTCAGAAAATACGAGAAAACTACAATCAAAACTCAATTGTAACTTTGCATTGCAAGTGAAGATACAACATTGTTTTGCCAAGCAACTCTGATGCAGATTTAAGAGTAAGTACCCATGCTAGACACTATAATAGCGGAGCAATAGATGATACATCAATGGAAGTTCTGTTGAAAATTGTAAAGGAGCGGTGGATACCCAAGGGAAGAAAGCTGGGATTGGGTGATTGAGAGACGGAAAAGTCGATCCCAGTTGATGGAGAGAGCAAAGCAATGGAATGTAAGGTAGCACAAGCCATTGAGGTTCAGCTACAAGAAGAACCAGTAGAGGGGAGTGGTTGAAAGTAACTAATTCGAACTTCTGGTAATAAAGCAGTCGCGAAGATGGCAACTGCGTAATGGGAGATCAAAATCACCATGGTAGGGACATCTAGAATACAAGAAGGCTATTCCAAGCAATCGAGTTAAGGTTGACCAGAAGAGAAGCCCCATGAACGAGAGCATGAATTGGCTAAACACAACACCAACTAATCAACTAGAAGAGAATCCCATGAATCTGCACAGTACGAGGAAGATGCCCAACAAGACATAATCCTCTTTCGAGGCCTAAACAACACAGCACCAACTAAATCCTCTCTTTCTCTTACGCTCCATCCCCGTGTAGCTACGCAGCTCCCATAACATTTGCAGACTAACTTCAAAGCACGAACCACACACAAAAAAAAAAAATCGAAAATTTCGTGAGGGGTAGGTTCGAGAAAAGCCGTACGCGGGAGGGAGCTGGCCATCGCCGGCGAACGTCACCATCCCCTGCCGCTGCTTGTGCTTGGGGTTAGCCGAGCAGACGACGTACACGCGCCCGCGGCGCTTCACCGTCTTGCAGAACTCGCACATCTTCTTCACCGAGGAGCGGATCTTCATGGTCGCTGCCCGACGGAGGAAGCAAGCGATCGACAACGGTGACGGAGGAAAACTGGTTCGAAACCCTAACCCGAGGCGAGGCGAGGAACACGAAGGCTACCACCACATCACGTGTTTTGGGCCCGTTCGGGCTCCTTGCAAGCTCAAGCCTATTGTTGAAAAAGGCTGGGCCAAATTTTCCAGAAAACTCAATAGTGCCAAGATGGAAACAAAATGATGGCCCGAGACAAGGCTTTTGGTTTTTCAAGACTGACGAAAGGATAAAGATTAAAACTAGGGAAGATGACACAAATGGTCCTTGAACTTTAATTCAATATATAATGTGGTCTATAAAATTTTAATTTGTTCGATGTGGTCCATGAATTTTAACCCCAATGCGCAACGTGGTCCCTGATCTTTTTGTTTATTCGGTGTCATTCATAAACTTTTGGTACATGTTCAATTCAGTCCCTGGACTATATGAAAATGCTCAATGTCGTCCTTCCATTAATTCAAGTTCAGGGACTACAATGAACATTTTCATATAGTCAAAGGACTACATTGAACATGTACCAAAAGTCCAGAGACCACATTGAACAAATTGAAAGTCAAGGGACCACATTGAATATCGGGCTAAAATTCAGGGGTGACATTAAACATATTAAAAGTTCATGGACCACATTGCACATTGACCAAAGTTCATGGACTGTTTGTGTCGTTATCCCTAAAAACTATATAACTTTTCCAAATATTTATAACATTTTGATTTTACAAATAATTCTAGGATCTTCAAAAAAAGAGAGGGAGAGATCAAAGGGTATTTATACCCGAATAGTATGAACAGGAGAGGAAGTAATCTGATCAACATAAAATTAGTTATCTCAGTCTAATGAGGAAACTATCTGTTCTGAAAAATAACGAAAGATCAAATAATACCTAATAATATCTCTAACAATAATCTTTAATAGGAATTTCTCAAATATCAATAAATACACTTAAAAACAAAAAAAAAAAAAGCCCATAAACATGATGACTGGAAAATTTCGGGTGAAATGGGCAACTCAAGAACAGAGAATTACAGGCAGGAGGAGGAGAAAAACGGGGGATGGTACAGCTTGAAAACTGGGAACAGCGGTCAATAGTAAACGCCCCTTGGTGGGGGACGATCTTTGTCTAATGTTTAATGTTAGTTTGTGGTATTGATGATGTTACTTTCTCTGTGTTCTCATGTGTAGAAAATAGGAGCAAGAACGCGTTCGTATTTGTCGGCTCTGTATTTGTTCGCGGATTTCTTGGCGCCAATTTTTTCTTAAATTCCAGACGCTGGCCAAACCACGAAAAATCAAACTCCGATCCGATTGGATATGACCGCTTCAGGAATTGGAATCTAGCAAAGCTAGTCAATGATGAAAATAGAGATGGTTAGATAGTGCCCGAATCCAAAGTGTGGTTTAGCGTTAGAATGATCGAGATTCTGCGCGTCGAGATGCAGCGAGTTTTTAAGTTTGGTCCATAATCGTCCCAGCCATTGGCGCCAAGATTGAATTGGAAGATAGATTTTGGTCTTCATGTGAATGGACCCTTTCTTTTTTTTTTATTGGATTGAGGATGAATTAGAAGGTTGTTGAAAATATCACCTGATGTCTAAAATAAAGCACCTTCGGATCAGTTACGTTTTAATTGTATTGTGGTTCTGTAAGGGGAATCTTACTGCTGGGCGGGACTTCCATGGTAGATGTAAGGTAAATTACCATGTCCCAATTTTCTTTCTTTGTCCCCACTAAGTTATGTCATCTTGCAGAAAGTCCCGACCATGTAGATTCTCTTTGAAAAATGTCCATTGCTGACCAAGACAGACTTCTAAGTAGTGTTTGGAATATTTTTCAGCGGTTACTCAAAAGAGTGGTGTAATCGAGTCGAGTTGAGTCGACGTAGTTTGCACGTTAAGAAGTAGTTAAAACCTAATTTTGAAGAAGCATGCGAGAATTGTATGTGACGTGTGCAATCGTTTCAATCTTGAGCCTCGTATATCTCATTCTAGTTGAGTTTTCTCTTCCAATGGGTTAAATCCACTTTCAATCCTCTAATGGGAAAATTACTAAAAAAATCTTACACCTATTATACTTTTGTCAATTCAGTCTTAAACCTTTCAATTATGCCAATTGAGTTCTAAACCTTTTCATGTGTTACTAATTGAGTCCATCTGGCTAATTTTAACCGGAAAACGCTGACGTGCCGTATCGACACTGACGTGGACAAGTTTTTAAAATTTTTATGATTTCTTTTTTCTTTTATTTCTTTCCTTTTGGCCAATGGTTGGTCAGGCAATGGCCGACCACCGGCAATGGCTAGAGAGGGCTGGGCGAGGTCGCCCTCGACAGACACGATCAGGCAAGGACTGGCCTCACCCATAGCCGGCAAGGGCGACTCTCACCCAGAGCCGGCGAGGGCTGCGATGCCCTTGCCAGTGCCGGGCAAGGGTCACCAGCACTCGATAAAAAGAAAAGAAAAGAAAAGAAAAGGATAAAAAAATTATATAACTTTTCCAAATATTATATAACATTTTGATTTTGTAAATAATTCTAGGATCTTTAAAAAAAGAGAGGGAGAGATCAAGGGGTATTTATACCCGAATAGTATGTACACGAAAGGAAGCAATATGATTTAACGATAAAATTAGTTATCTTAGTCTAACAAGGAAACTATCTGTTCTGAAAAATAGCGAAAGATCAAATAATACCTAATAATATCTCTAACAATAGTCTCTGATAGGGATTTCTCAAATATCAACAAATACACTTAAAACAAAAGGAGCCCATAAGCATGATGATCTGGAAAATTTCGGGTGAAATGGGCAAATTCAAGAACAGAGGATTGCAGCCACGAGGACAAGGAAAAACAGGGGATGTTTCAGCTTGGAAACAGGGAGCAGCAGTCAATAGTAAACGCCCGTCCGGTGGGGGGATTGATGATGTTACTTTGTCTGTGGACCCATGTGTAGAAAACAGGAGCAAGAACGCGTTCGTATCTGTCGGCTCCAGTGAAGGCGAGGCCACGCCTCGCCGTCGCGACCCAGGCGACGGCGAGGTCGGCCTCGCCTTCGTCCGGCGAGGCGAGACCTCGCCGTCGCGACCAGGCGACGGCGAGGTCTCGCCTCGCCGGATCTGGCCCTCGCTGGGCTCGGCGAGGGTCGCCGGGCCCCGGCCAGGGGCCGGCGACCCTCGCCGACCACTGCGCCCACCACCGCCGGCCCTTCCCGGCGGTGGTGGGTTGGCAGCGGCAAGCAATGGCGAGGAAGCCTGCGCTTCCTCGCCGCTGCTGCAGGTTTTTTTATTTATTTATATAATTTAATTTTTTTTTTTAAAAAGTACACGTCAGCGGGCTAAACGGTGTCGTTTTTTGTTTTTAATGCTGACTGGACCTCTCCGGTGAGCCATGTTAGCACCACATCGGATTTCCGACGAGCCACGTCAGCATTGGCACTAAAGTGATCGATTTTCAAAAAAAGTTGACACCAAAGTGATCCGAAAAAAAGTTATGACACCAAAGTAATCGCCGTACACAAGTTATGGCACTTCTAGTGTACTTTTGCCCTAAGTAATGTCATCTTGCAGAAAGTCCCGACCATGGGCAAGATTCTCTTTGAAAAATGCCCAGTGCTGACCGAGACTGACTTCTAAGCAGCGTTTGGAATATTTTTTCGGCGGTTACTTAAAAGAGTGGTGTAATTGAGTCAAGCCGATGTAGTATGCACATTAAGAAGCAGTTAAAACTTGATTTTGAAGAAGCATGTGAGAATTGTTGGTAAAGTGTCTAATCGTTTCAATCTTGAGCCTCATGTATCTCGTTCTAGTTGAGTTTTCTCTTCGAATGGGGTTAAATCAACTTTCAATCCTCTAATGGAAAATTTACTAAAAACATCCTAAAGCAATTGTATTTTTATCAATTTAGTCCTAAACATTTCAAGTGTGCTAATTGAGTCATAAACTTTTTCATGTGTTACCGATTGAGTCCATCTGACCAATTTTAATCGGAAAACGTTGACGTGGCGGCGTACCAACACTAACGTGGACAACTTTTTAAAATTTTTCTAAGTTTTATTTCTTTTTTTTCTTTCCTTTTGGCCCTGGTCTTAGGCGATGGCCAGAGAGGACTGGGCGAGGTCGCCCTCGATAGCCACGATCAGGGAAGGGCCGACCACGCCCACAGCTAGCAAGGGTGGCCATCACCAGATCTGGTAAGGGCGGCCATCGCCAAATCTGGCAAGGGCAACTCTCGCCCAGAGTTGGCGAGGGCTTGCACACCCTCGCCAATGTGGGGCAAGCGTCGTCGGCACTCAGAAAAAAAAGTAAAGAAAAGAAAATAAAATAAAATAACCAAAAAAATTATTAAAAAAAAGTATCTACGTTAGCATTGGTCATGCCACGTAAGACGGTTGACATTCACATAAGCAATTTCCGGCCAAAATTGACGAGATGGGCTTAATTGACAAAACATGAAAATATTTAGGACTCAATTGACACAATTGAAAGATTTAAGATTAAATTGGCAAAAGTGCAATAAATTTAAGACTTTTTGGGACAATTTTCCCATTCTAACTTATAATGTTTGTGCGATTGGATCCTCGAGACAGCAAGTCATTACTACTTTGATGAATGGCCGGAGTCCAACCATCACCGATCGTTGATCATCGCTCCTCTAAAGGTCAACCTTGTTACAAGTTCTTCACGTTTTCCAACCATCATCGCTAGTGGTGGCTGCCAGCATTAACCATATATTATGAAAATTATGAAAAGGTTATATGTGAATTCACGTATCAATATTCATAAAATGGGAAAGTTCCTAAGTTTGAGATCAAGAAAAGGTGAAAGTGCGTTCGGCTCAAAAGTAAATAGTAAAACATAAATATCTATTATTCAAGTGGTTTTAATTAAACTACACGATCCTCATATGGGCATTACAATTATATGGAGATTTAAATTCAAGGCGTTGGTTAAGTGATTGCCTTATGTGAGTACAAACAATATCTACTTATTTCATTACCCCCAAAAAAAAAACAATATCTACTTATTTATTCTGTCCATGAAGATCATCAACGGAGTTTCTGGAAATAGCAGAGAAGAAGCTGATGTCAAAGATCCAGATTTTCTTAATTTCTACCCGAAATGGTCAGAATTGAATTTCCAAATTTCCCAGTTAAACTGATTGAAAAAAGAAGAGATTTTTTATTTTGCAATTTATCGTCAATAAGCAAGGCCCCATTTGCTTGGAAAACGTTGTACAGCTGTAAAAGGCATTGGCTCCGACTGAGGTTTTAGGAGTGATCTTCCATCTATAAGTATGTCATCAATCTGGTTAACCACATGGAGACCTCAACCATCTTACCTCTCATAAACCAACCATCCCCCAAATCATGGTTTCTTCCTTATCGCTGTCCCACCACTCTCCTTTAGGTGCCTTCTTGTTCTTCTCGCTTTTCTTGGTGGACACCACTTTATTTTATGGTGCAGGCGTTTTTGCGTCATCCACTTCTTCTTTCACTGTCAAAGTGATTGAGAATAAGGATGAAGCAGAAGCTCTCTTGAATTGGAAATCTGCTCTTGACAACCATAGCCAATCTCTCCTCTCTTCATGGCACGGCAACAGTCCTTGCGGCTTTACTGGTGTCTCTTGCAACGACTACGGAGTCGTCGCCCATCTAAATCTTTCCTATCTTGGTTTGAGAGGTACTCTGGACGGCCTTGACTTCTCCCGCTTAACCAATGTGGTTAGCTTGGAACTTGGCAACAACTCGATCTATGGCTCCATACCCTCAAGTGTCGGTAACCTTTCCAAACTCAACTCTCTTGACCTTTGTGGCAATGAACTGTCCGGGGACATTCCTCCAAGTATTGGTATGCTAGAGAGTCTTCATTCTTTGTCCCTATGTGCAAACAACCTGAGTGGTCACATCCTTCAGGAGATCGGACGGTTGGATTCTCTTTTGAAACTTGATCTTTCCATAAACGCTCTCACCGGTTCTATCCCTGCTTCACTAGGGAACTTGAGCAGCCTTAATTATCTTTATCTGTGGAAAAATCAACTTTCAGGATTCATTCCTATTTCTCTTGGAAAATTAGGCAATTTAATCGAATTCGACATTTCGCAGAATAACATTTCTGGTTCAATTCCGAGAGAGATAAGTGACTTGAGGAATTTGAAGGCTCTTTGATTATGGCAAAATGGATTTTCAGGACCCATACCCTCAGAAATCGGAAAGCTCACTTCCCTTGTTGAACTTGACCTATCATCCAACAATCTCACTGGCTCAATACCTCCTTCTGTTGGAAACTTGACAAGTTTATCTATTCTTAACCTCTTCCAACATAATTTGATCGGTCCAAATCCCCACTTCTCTTACAAAATTGGGCAACTTGACCCAATTAGCCATCACAAGGAATGCCCTCTTTGGTTCTATTCCACACGAAATATGCGACTTGAGGAGTTTGAAGTTTCTTAGCTTAGCTGATAATAGATTGTCAGGATCCATTCCTTCAGAAATACGAAACCTGACAAGTTTATCTTTTCTTAACCTCAATGGAAATGCAATCTCATCCTCGATCCCTCAAGAAATTGGGAGATTGGTACATCTCGAACGATTGGATTTGTCAGAGAACAATTTGGTCGGTCCAATACCATCGTCTTTGCTGAACTTGAGCAATCTAAAGATTTTATACCTTTACTCAAATAATCTTTCAGGCTCGATTCCACAAGAGTTGGGGAAATTGATATCTCTTAGACAATTGGATGTATCCTTTAATAATTTGACCGGTCGGATCCCTGCATCAATTGGAAGCTTGGCAAATCTGACAGGATTATGGCTTCGTGGCAATAAATTCATTGGTTCCTTGCCTTTTGAATTTAATAAGTTAACACGTTTGGTTCAGTTGGAACTATCTAATAATGAATTAGAGGGGGAATGCCAGACGATGTATGCCTCGAGGGATCATTACAATATTTCTCCGTCTTCAATAATCATTTCGAGGGTCCCATCCCAACAAGCTTAGAGAACTGTAGCACATTAATCAGATTGAGGCTAGAAGGAAACCAACTTACTGGAAACATTACAGAAGCTTTTGGAGTATATCCACATCTATATTATATGGACTTGAGCCACAATCATTTGAACGGTGAAATTTCGTGGAAATGGAAGGGTTGTCATAATTTGACGAGCTTAATGATATCAAACAACAGCATTTCTGGTGAGATACCCGCAATATTTGGAAGGATGGCTCAATTACAGAGACTGGACCTTTCATTAAATAATTTAAGCGGGGAGATTCTAGCGGAATTGGGAAGCCTATCGTTGTTGTTAGAACTCGATCTAAGCAACAACGCAATCACGGGAAATGTCCCGGCTGAGATTGGACTTTTATCTCATTTGGCACATCTGAACTTGGCATCAAACAATTTGAGCGGATTGATACTGGTGCAGCTAGGCTCATGCCAAAATTTGTTGGGCTTGAACTTGAGCAGAAACAAATTTCAGAGAAGCATCCCTTTTGAGATAGGCAACGCACAATTCCTTGAGGTTCTTGACTTGAGTCATAATATGTTGACTGAAAACATACCAGGAGAGCTTGGAAAGTTAAGAATGCTGCGAGTTCTAAATATCTCCCACAACAGTCTCTCCGGTTCTATTGCACATATTTTTGTTGATATGTCGGCCTTGACTTCCATTGATGTATCCTACAATGACCCGGAAGGTCCTCTCCCAAACGTGAAGGCTTTCATTGAGGCTCCATTCGAGGCGATTCAGCATAACAAAGGGCTATATGGAAATGTTGTTGGTTTACCGAAATGCAATTCTACCGTGAGCAAGAAATGCATTGGAACTAGAATCACAGTTGTCCTCGTTCTCTCCTTCTTGGGGTTTCTCCTTCTCTCTTGCACCTTGACTGTTCTTGTAATCATCAATCACCGCCGAAGAAGGATTATCAAGAGAGAGAACAATGAACGGGCAAATGATTTGGATTTTATGTGTATTTTGAGTTATGATGGCAAGGTTTTCTATGATCGAATCATCGAGGCCACGGAAGGATTTGACTCCAAGTACTATGTGGGTGAAGGAGCATATGGAATTGTTTATAAAGCCGATATATCAGAAGGTCAAACGGTTGCTGTCAAGCAAACCTCATCATCTCAGGAAGAGTGAAATCGTCAATTTGATACCATTTGGAAGGGAAATTCAAGCCTTAAGAAATATACGCCATCGTAACATCGTGAAATTTTATGGGTTCTGCTCTCATGCCCAACGTTGTTTTTTGGTGTATGAGTACATGGAAAGAGGGAGCTTGAGAACAACTTTGAACGATGACACAAGAGCAATAGAATTTCAATGGGACAAGAGAGTAAATGTGGTCCGAGGAGTTGCGGATGCATTGTCCTATATGCATCACGAATGTTCGCCTCCATTGATTCATCGAGACTTGACGAGTAACAACATTCTATTGGATTGCGATTATGAGGCTCATGTTTCCGATTTTGGCAATGCAAGACTATTGAGGCCGGATTCATCAAACTGGACTTCTATCGCCGGCACCATCGGGTATATTGCTCCAGGTACTTCGTAATTTTTGCAATTTTAATGACATTCGGTGTTAGTCATCTCTTTTATAATTGAAATTTTGCTAGTTTGGTGCAGTTCTTTAGTCATTTAATCTTCTTAAGGAAATTTGTTTACGCCATCAAAATTTTCAAGTTCAGTGTAGATAGAAAGCTTTTTTATTTCCCCGATAAATAAGAATTGGCAAATGAGGAAAAACATCATAATCAATCCATTTCAAGGATATTAAGTTTGTGTTACCTAAAGATGCTCTTACTTTAAGCGTCGAACAAAATTCTTTGAACTCCGTCAAAGCATAAACTCCTATCATCAAATCAGTGTTGTAAGTATAGATTACGTAGAAATTTGTACTTGTAATCGTCACGTCATGGGAAGCAATGTTGTTAACTTGAATACAGCTTATCATCGAGGTTATAAAAAATTGTGAATTCTCTACTTGCAGAGCTGGCTTATTCTACAATTCCTACCGAAAAATGCGATGTGTATAGCTTTGGAGTCGTCGCATTGGAAACAATCATGGGAAAGCATCCAGGATATCACATCTCTTGGGAATGTTCATCGTCTACCCAATCTGAGTCGCTAATGATGTTGAAGGATGTGTTGGATCAACGTCTCTCGCCTTCTAGACTTCGTCTTCGAGATGCGCAAAACGTGGTCTTGATCGCCAAGCTAGCGTTCGCATGCTTGCAAGCCGATCCACGGCTTCGACCAACTATGGGACAAGTCTCGCGTGAGCTTCGCGTTCATGTACCCATGGAAATGCCATTCTCTGCAGTAAGCTTAGAGCAACTTCGCAATCTCAATGTCACGAAATTTGGAGCATTCACGAGAAATGGTAAGTTTTAAAGTTACTTTTTCACGTGGTATTGTGTTTTGTTTTTAATGATGATGATGATTGCCTTTTGAATATCTTCTTAGTTCTCACTAATCCCAACCGTGTGATTTATGATTTTCACTACAGAGCTAGCTTCACTGTGAACGTAATAGGAATAGTGCGATGTTCATATTTTGGAATCGCGGCACCAAAAATAATTACAGGAAGGCTTTTGGGAAGATCTCATTTCACGACTATTATCAACTTTTTGCGTAGCGAAGAGGAATTGAATTTGCAAGATGTATTGGATCGACATATCTTCCCTTCTTTGAAACGGATTGTAAACAACATGTAGTTTCTGTTGCTGAAAGACACAATAATACTAGTTGTCTGTGAACTTTTATCGATATGTAGGGTCATACTTGCACTTTTAAGTGGTTCAATCAGGTCGATTTTTGACTAATGTACGATGTCGTCCCGAAACTTATAATTTATCCAATTAGATTCCTATCATTCTTTCATTAATTAATTTAAATGAAGTATGGCATGGACACGAAAACCATAATTCACGTTCGTTAATCAGCTGGGTTTTAGAGGTCAAATAGGTTAGGGCAATAGCTACCACCAGAGGCTAGAGAAGAGCTCTACATGCCGAGAGAGATTTTCAATTCCCTTTGGACCACAGAAACACAATCAACTTTAATTTCATGCAAGTTTGGCAAAGTTAAAATTAGTCGCACTTTGCTTTACATTACCCGCATTCCAATCGCCAGTGGAGAACCGACGAGGTCAAGCTTTGATCTCAATCCGATTCAAATCACTATTTTTTTTGCGGGGAGGGGGGGCGTTCTCTCAAAACTGACGTTCTTTATTTCTAAGAGAAAACCGAAGGGCCCATAAACTAGGCTTCATTACAAAGCATGTCCATCAGTAATTGGCTTCCAGATCTGTCGAGAGGTAAGCTCAATTGGTTTCGAATTTTGCTTTGAATATCATCTCCAGTAATTGCTTTGTGAAGCGAGTGCTCCTCGCAGTACTGGTTCCGAATTTGGGGTTTTATGTCTGAAAATGAAATTATTTCGAGACGTCCACATAAACTAGAGGGTGGTGGCCACCAATTCCAGCGAAGGAAAGTTTCCTGAGTACCGTAAAAATTGGGTAAGCCAGTTTTCCATTCTGCTCAAACCCTAAGGAGAGATTTGAATATTTAGGTTCAGATTAGCCCATGCATCTCGCATCCATGGAAGTAGTAGAAAAAGATGCTCACTCGTTTCCACATGGTTCTTACACAGCGAGCAAAAGGTTTCGGGTACGATTTTTCGCTTATATAAGTTTTCCATGGTAGGGGAGTCCGTTCTGGCATACATTCCATATAAAGATCCTGACTTTAGGAGCAGTTTGCAGATTCCAAATTCTGTTCCATAGAACCCGAGGAACCACGAAGGAGGAAGAAGCCATACTTGATTTCAGATTGTCCTCTTCGAGTCTGAGAGAGTTATAGCCACTCTTCACCGTGTACTTTACCTGTTAATGAATTAGGCCCCACCTTTGGTCTCGAACTGATTGGGTTCTCAGTGGGATAGTGAGAATTTCCTTAACAGTGTCTTCTTCGAATCGGTTCTGCAGAAGAGATTCGTTTCATGTATTCTCCTCCTTGTTTATAAGCTATGCTACTTGCACTGGTTCGCCTTTATTTGCTGGCCCTCCTATTACTCCACTTTTTAATTTTCTGTCCTCTCGAATGCTAATGGCTTCCCCTGATCCAACAATCCACATAGTTGAATTTGAAATAGCATCTCTTCCCACTAGTAAGCTTTGCCAGCCCCATGAAGTTCTGTGTGCCAGAAATCTCTACGAAGGAAGTAATTAAGAATTTGACTCCATAGTGAACAAGGGTTTTTCATTAATCTCCAGGCTTGATTCCCTAAGAAAGCTTTGTTCACAGTAACTCTGTAAAA